GGATAGAATGAATAAGTTTTTAAAAGAGGTCAGAGAGGTGCTAAGAGAAGACAGGGAGAGATGTTTCAACAAAAGTCAGAAGTTAGATAAAGAAAATCAATTTTCATTTATTTTTATTTATTATTATCATTTTTCGGTTTTGGCTGGAGAGACAGAGAGAGAGTGAGAGAGAGAGAGAGGAAAAGTGAGAAAGCAAGCCACCAGGTCTGGGACTTAAACCACAATCAGCCATGTCGGAGTCCAGCATCTTAACTACCACACCACCTGCCAGCCCCAAGAAAATCAATTTTTAAGAGAAAAGATGACAAATGAAAAGGGGGCAATAGATTTGGTGTTTGAGGAAACCCTAGTGGCTGGGGAAGAAATGACAACCAAACAGGACAGGACACTGGAGAGGAATATGTTTTGAATTCATAGGTCGGCCTAAGACTTGGACTACATTTAACAAAAGTAACGGCTTTAAAAATTCTTGGCACAGAAAGTATAATAAAACAAAATTATTAAGTATCCCACCTATCAGTTTTGGGAAAGAAACAGTTACCCTGCATTGTTAGGATTTTCTAAAGAGGTCATATCAAATCCATTGAAAAAGCTGGCCCATTCAAACTTGCAGAACTAAGTAAGGAAATCCATGATTATCAGAAGCAAAAGCGACCAAGGTGCTTTCATGGAATGAAAGCTGCAGCATACACACATTAAACAGGAAAGAGATTTGAGAGACCAGGGGTTGCCACCAACACAGTTCACAGAGCCTGCCAGGGTATGGCTGGCAATTCAGGATCACAGATACCCCAACGTGCTCCGATCACGGAGAGTTCTTCCCACTAAGTACACTCACGTTGGTAGTCAGTAGAGATGCATCCATGCACTAAATATTGCACAGGAGCTGTGGGTCATTTACCCCCCAGCCCTAAGTTCAAAGACAGAACCATATGGAGATAACCCCCTTGCAAAGCCAAAAGCTCTCAAGTATAGATGGAATAGAGCCCAGAAAAGAGATGTTGCAGCACTGGACTGGCATTCAAACTGGAAATAAAGCAGGGAGGGGGCGTCTGAACAGACTATTCTTTTTGTACTTTGTACCCTGGATATTCTGGCACATAATTACTCCACTCACTTGTCAAAGAGTGCTTATTTCAGAGGTGCTAAACAGCAAGAGGACATTCTTATAAATAATATTCATATCCTATTAATAAAAACGAGGGATTTCACCTATCTGCTGTAATAAAAAACATTTAAAAAACCAAACTTTAAAAATCTCTTTTAATAATTAAACTCAACCCAGAGCAATATTCTGTGGTATTAAAACAAGCTGTCTGTTGGTAGGTGAAGCATACAAAAGCCGTTATTTGCATCCTCTAGGCCATTTACTGTGAAAGATGCTGAGATACAAAATTCAGGCAGGAAAGCTGAATAAAACAAGGCGTGGTTGAGGCGCCCTGGGCAAGTTATTGGACGTCTGCCCTCGCATTTCCTGTTTGTAGGAGGTAAGCAATGGCAGCTGCTGGGCTAGGGTTTCTGAAAGAGACGCTGGGACAGAAAACAGCTCAGGTTGCTGGTTCTTTCACTTCAGCGGTTGAGGCTGCAGCATCGGATATAGGTGAGGTTGCCCCTTCGGTCTCCATGGCAACGCTGGAGGGGGCGGCAGAGAAAGGCCGCCCTCCACCTTACACGCCACCTCGCCAGCTCGGACCTCCAGACACACTCTGGTGCTCCGCCAGGGGGAGCCCAGCTCCAAGTTCTGGTCCTCCGCGAACTCCAGTCGTCATGGCAGCGGCCAGGAAGGACAAGGCGCTTTCCAGCAGGGTCCGGCTTCACTAGCTCCAGGCCCTCCAGCCAGATAAGGGTGAGGGGTGGTCAGCTGGCCGTGTCCTGTCATCCCTGCCAGGTAAACTAAGTGCCCATAGGGGCACCCGTTACAGCCTATTCAAAATTGCATACAGAAACCAATTTTGCTCAGAGCCTGAAAGAACCGAACCATGGTTTATTCACTGGAGCAAAAAACGAGTCCAGGAGGAAAAGGGTGCCTCTCCTGGCAGCTAAGTCAATGGAAATTGTTACCTTGCTTTCAAATCCATCAAAAGGCTCCAGGATTTTGAAAGAAACAGTATTATTGTTTAGCTGTAGAGAAAGAAAAGAAAAATCAAAGAAAATTTTTGATTCTCTATTTAAAATTTTCAGGGCAGTTTCCCTATAGTATATAATGGGGTCATGTCCTCTTCTTGTGCAATAATTAATATTTTTTGACTGTAACTATGACTTTTTTTCCTTTCTTTTTTTGCCACTAGGTGCCAGTGTTTGCAAGAGAGGGACAGAGAGGCAGAGAGTGAGAGAGAGAGAGAGGGGTAGAGAGAGAGAGAAAGAGAAAGAGAAACACCCAGTGGGGTGCGATCACATGGAAATCTCTTTTCTTTTTCTACATACTGTGGGGATTGTGGGTGCAGGTGCACACAACTGGGTGTTTTTCAAGCACCACCTGGATTAGCTTGGCCATGTGGGATCCTGTTCTGTCAACCACTAGGCCAGGAGGCTGGCCCAGGCCTTTTCATAATAAAAATTCTCAGAAACTTGATAAATTTAAAGCAGTAATAAATGTGCTTCTGAATATATTTACATTGTAAAACTCATTTTCTAAACATTTATACAGGTGCATGATTAATCTGTGTACTGTTAAATGATCGCTGGTTACCTAACACTTATGGCAAAGAATTTTTAACTGAAGTTAAAACGGGGGCCAGCAACTGGCGTGGTGGTTGGGGTCCTGGACTCCCACATGGTCAACTGCAGTTCAAGTCCCGGACCTGGCAGCTTGCTTTCTTTCTTTCTCTCTGGCAAGTTTTTGTTATTTTTTTAATAGCTAAATTTAAAATAATAATAATAAAATTATTCTTTTAAAAATGCATAAAGAAATAAAAAACATTTACCAATTTATATTAAGTTTAACCGCTTGCTTAAGATTCCTTAAAATGATCTCTCACACATATAATCATTTAGATATTAAAACAAAGGCTCTAGAGTAGTCACCATAGTACGGTGGAAATGCAGTGCTCGGCAATGCTGAAGCCGCATGGGAAGGTCCTGGGTTTCAATCTAAAAGTCTCCCTATAGACATACTGCATGCATATGCCCATGACCAAGGCTGCCTGATGCTTGGGGTGGATTATGGCACGAAGACCTTGCTTGGGAGTGTTCTCTCTCTCTCTCTCTGAAGAAATTTTTTTAATTGAATAAAAGAGGGCTGTTTGAATTAGTTTTGAGATCAGGTATATGCCTTAATATACAAACCGAAGTGTTACCTAAATGCTATATCCTAGTGCCTTTGCCCTGGAATATTCAAATTTATAAGGCTTTCCCAAGGATTTTTTCCCCTAAAGAATATCACTTTAAATGCCATGCAGTAAATAAGAGATCAATAAAGATCAATATCTTTAAATTAATCATCATCCAAATGGCCAAACTATTTCTACTCTGGCAGAAATGTTTCTACTATCTCCCCATAGATAATGTCCATGACCTCAAGTGCTGAATTTGCCCTTTTTGGCCCACACTGGATAAATGAAAATATATTTAAATGGTAGACAGCTCTGTGCATAAATTATGGATTGTATGAACTGATATTTAATACCTGTTTACACTCCTTTTCAATATAGTACTGGAAGGCCTTGCCAGTGCAATCAGAAAAGAGAATAAAAAAAAGGCATTCAAATAGGAAAAGAAGTGGTGAAATTCTTTCTATTTACAGATGACATGATTGTATACCTGGAACATCCTGAGGTTTTCACAACAGAAAGCAAATGATCAGAGCACTCCATGTTACAGTGTGAAGAAGCTTAATTGAATGAGAAAGTAGGTAGAAAAGCTTTTAGCCTTCTGGACTGCTTTATCATTCCAGCAGGTTAGCCTAGAGTACCATTCTTCGTAAATTTCATAGGGCCTTAAAAGTCTCAGCAAGTCTGGCAAGCTTTTGTAATAGCTAGGTCTAAATGTTTGCATATCAAAGTACAATTCCATTTTCCTTAAGACACTATATATACTGGAACATTAAAATATAGACTATATAGAGTTATATAGAGAGTTTCTTATAAAATCTATCAAAATGGATCATTATCTCATCACACAATACTAGTGTACACTAGGGCAGGCCTTGTAGCACAGAGGTTAAGCACTGTGTGGTGAGAGCTGGAGCTCATATGCCTGATCACAATTCGAATTGTGGCCACGAGAGCCCAAAAAACATGCTGGGTTTGTGTATAGCGATGCCAAAAGTCCTGACAGGATGAGAAACTTTTAAAAAAGAATTGTGGTGGGATCAGCAGTTGGTGTAATGGCTGTGTCGCTGGACTCCCATGTAGTTGACCATGATTCGAGTCCCGGACCAGCGACTTAAACTCACGCATGCATGCCCAAGATTCCAAGGAAGAATGGAGGAGAAGGGATTGTGGTGTGGCCATCTCCCCAAGGGGGTGATTTCTTGCTTTCTGTCTCTCTGTCTCTTCCTATCTTTCTGGTGAGCGCACAGGCCCTATAACAAAAACCTCTCAAAAAAATAAATAAATAAAATAAAAAGAAAGAAAGAAAGAAAGAAAGAAAGAAAGAAAGAAAGAAAGAAAGAAAGAAAGAAAGAAAGAAAGAAAAAGGATTGTGGCATGATCTTGCCCCATTGAGGGGTGCTTTCTCTCTCTGACAAGGATACATGCCCTCTGGCAATTAAAAACAGGAATATTTGCGTACACTAGAACTGAGGAGAATGGTAAAATAGAAGTATATTAAGAAATGATTTTAAGAACCCAGAAACAGGTATCATTTACTTAATATGTAATTTTCAATAATAACGGATGTCCCTAGATAATACAACTAATTTGTTTTTACTTTCTTGTGTTTTTTATTTTTGAAGAAATTCACAATAAGTAGGAATTAATCAAACAATAATAACAAATAGTAGACTTATTTTTTTCAAACTGATAAATGGTTATGCTTTTGAAAGCAATTCATACATTTATTTTAATCTATTAGTTGTGACTGATACAGTGATGTCACTGTAGCTTTAGAATATTTATTTACTGATGATAATGTATATGGTAATGTCTTTGTCCCCACTGGTACACACTGTATTCGTGCTGGGAAAAACCATGTTGTACACCGTAAAGATGTATAGTGATTAAATATAAATAATAAATAAATATAAAAAAGAATATTTTCAAATCTTTAAATCGTATTGTGTACTAGGGAAAAAAAGACAATTGAAATCTTAGAAGTATTTCTTTCTAAAAGTTGAGAACTTTCCACCTACTCTCACAAACCAATATAGAGCCAAATAAATTTGTGTGTAAATATCTAAGTTACTCAATACACAATGTTACAAGAAACTTTGTTACTTTCAAATTATTCATTAACATTGTGCCTGACCCAGAAGCTTGAAAAACACATCGAGCATGTTTGCAAGTACATGTGTGCGCGCGAGAGTGTTCATGTGTGTGTGTGTGTGTACGTTTATGTGTGCACTGGTCCAAAATCCTAAAAGGGAGAAATGGAGGAGAAGGGATTGCTCATGTCTGGTTCACACGGAAGCATCTCCAGAAATAATCTTCAAAGAGGGCCTCAACACAACGTATAAACCATTAGTATATAACTGCTAAACCGTTAGAATATAACTGCCTCTAACAGGACCAAAACTCCATAATTCCAGGAATTTGAAATCAAGAGCAAAGACTAAAGTAACCAAGAATGGGTGCCATGGCAAGACAGTGCCACATGTAAATTAAAATCATGGGAGATAATTAGTAAAATGTCTTTTTTTTTTTTTTTAAAGTCAGTCTTTAGAGAAAAGAATGGAAATGTATGCAGAGAGAAGCATTTCTAATACAACACATGATAACCCAAAGGGGAAGAAAAGATAAGCTTTCCAGTTATTGTTCCCTAGTAAGTTTACATTCTCTTTTAACTATTTTGAGTTTATCGTCTTTGCATCTATTAATTCCAGAATAAGGCTTGAATACAACTTAGCTTCTTCAGAGCATTATTAAACCACTCAAATCATGACTTATCTCCTATTTCACTAAAGAGATAAAGACAATCATGAGACAATCATCTCTGACTCTATCTCAAAAGACCTGATATCATCTATCCATCCATACCAATGCTACAACATTTTTCTCTTTACACTGTGTGTCTATGGTGATTTGACAACTAACAATCCTTTGATAGAAGGAAATACTTTTCCTCTATCTCATATTGGTGATTAAGTTTAAAACTAGGTTTTGCATCTTTATAAAAAAAATAATCACGGTTGTTGGGCAAAGATATCTTGAGTTCTGAAAACTGTCACTTTGGTTTCAGAATATTTTTTGACCTTTTTGGACAAAAGAAATCCATTTTACTCTCAAAGTGTTATGTGACTCTTGTTCTGAAAGATTGATTGCTTTAAAAAGAAATCATTATGCTTTCTTTTTTGATGTATCTAAGTAAAAATGTTCATGATGTCAAGTCACTGTTTGATAGTTTTATAATTGCCAATGTACAAGGGAAAGAAAGTAAATAGATACCCAGTCAAATAAAATCCAGTTTTCAGATATTCATCATCATATTTGCATGTGTCTTTTCTTTTTAGACTGTTTGGTGGGAATATTACATTTGCAAATCTACTCCTGACATATATATGAAATCTTGTTTTCTATTCTTTTCACTTCATGGTGTTGTATTACCTTTCTACTTTAACAAATTATTTTTTCCCTGGTCCACTTTTGCAAAATCAAAATATAATGCAACTCAAAAGTAATAACATTAATATGCAAATTTCACAAATGTAAACAACATCATCAAAGCATTTTAGCCAACCTGGTCTACCCTTTATTAATTGGATGTTAGCCTAGACTAAGTGACCCATATATT